AATTATTCTAACTGAAATCTGTTTGGTTCTTGTAGTGCTCTGGTAAAATTTGTTTTTCTTGTATTTGTTAGGTTAATACTCTTGTAGAATACTACAGACAGCTTGCTACAAAAGAAAAAGTTGAAAGGGAGAAAAAGAAATTAACCAAACGCCGCAACTATATGCACATATCAGTGAGTATTTAAAATAAGACATCAATGTTGTTTAGATTTTTGTTTATATTTTGTTTATATTTTTTTTAGTTATAGATAACAATGATATTGAAACAATCTGGATGAAAATAACAATTCACAATATTATTATTTTTTGGCCATTTAGTTTGTGGAAGAGTCTCTTTCAAAATTTGATTCCAAATGTGATTGTAGTGAATTGAATGACAGTATATTATCAATCATTTTATGACAACTTTTAACTTGGTATTCTATAACAAAATGTAAATAAGAAAATAACACTCGCTTGTTTCAAAGCATATCATTGATAATGTTGTTACCTTTTTTTACGCTTGAATCAATTTGTTGTGTTAAAAATTTCTAATTTCAAATTAACAAGAAAAACCACTTAAGTTCTTAAACTACCTTAAGACAAGGAAAAATCGAGATATCACTCAAGATGTTTGTGATTCTTTCTCTAAAAAATAAATATAATTATTATTAAATAGGTTTATTAAAAGCTTACTGATTTTTCTGTTATATCTAATCCCAAATGCTGTAAAATTCCCTTTAAAACTGGACACAGTATATACCAAGGAAGGTAAGAAAACATTAAACAACATAGCAAGTAGCAAGTATCAAGTAAATAAAATTTTGTCTTATTCACTAAAATATTCCTTTGAATAATTTAAAGGTTTGTTAATTTTGATTTATGAGACATTCTTATGTGTTTAAAGAGTAATATTACATAACAAGCTTTTGTCAGACTTAAAGATATTTGAATTAAAATCAAGTTTTTACAATTTTGATTAATAATTAATCAAGTCTATTTAAATATTTAATTAATCATGTCTATTTAAATATGTACAGTTCAAGATGTAAATAAGATTCTTAAGGCCAGTGGTTTTCTTATTATTTGTCTAAATCACCACAAAAGTTTTTGAAGCACTTGAGGTTTTGTAGGTGTTGTAGTTGATTTTTTATCTCAGGTAAGTTTTATTGTTCTTTTGTTTCAACTTCATTAGCGTTTTAACTATACCCAAAAACAAAAGGAAAAGAAATATTACGTCAGATGAAAACAAAATTAACTACAACATAGGCAATAATTGCCTTGATCATTTGTAAGGGCCATTTGTACAAAGTCTGAGGAAAACATAATGACCATTTAAATATAAATAATTTTGGAATATAGTAATACTATTGTCTGAGAATGGTTTCTTAAAAAAAATTGGAGGTTTACAACAGTCTTCACAATGGCCCCAGACTGACTTCTGTTTGCTCAAAGTAATTCTTCTGAATTGTCAGGATTGCCCCATGTTGCATGAGAAATGTTTCCCTGTGATTGTCTTGATTGCAAGTCTGAATACTTGTCTCAAGATGATATGGAAGCCAGTATTAACTGATTGGGGGTGTCATTTGTTGTTTTTACTTCTTGATTTTTTAGGGCAAAATTGAATTAGAATTCACTTTGGAATAAAAGTCAGCAAAAAAGGTTTAAGAAAACGTTTTAATGTGGCTGTAACATCATTTTCAAGTGACAAATGAAAAAATTGACTCAGTGTATATATAGTTTGAGGTGATAAAATACAACAACAGTAACGCATTTCAGTGTGCGTGGTGATTACATCTGAACAAATGGTTTTGGGTGCATGAAAAAGTATGTGTCTTTTTGTGTTTCTTAGTTCGTAGTAATTGAGTTTCATGGCCAAGAATGTTCCGCTAGTACAGCTCTTTTGCCAAATTCCAAGACTAAAGCAATGATTCTTTTCTTTTCAGGATAAGTTCAATTTATCATCCTTAACAAGACGCAAGAGTAGTCTTTCTTATCTGACTAGTTTCAGCTCAAAAGGGTAGGCATTGTGTTGTTTAGTACGTTGTGTGGATTATCAATGTAGGTTTCTGGGAAACTGCCCTCCTACCCCTCCCCTAAGCCATCATTTTGCCCTAAGTGAAAAGTAAGTGTTAATGTTAGCGTAGGGGAGGGGTAGGTGGGCAGTTTCCCAGGAACCTAAATTGATCCCATTGTGTTTCTGTTACAGTCGACTCCCGATAACTTGAACCTTCTAGGGAAATCTAAAAAAGTTCGAGTTATCGGGAGTTCGAAGCAAAACAACCAGAAATAAGGAGATAAGGAAATGGGATGGGGAAGGAATGCAAGTTTCATGCACACTGATATTTTGAAAAGCAATACAAAGAATACTTGGTTTGTGTTGAAATAAATTCAATGTTTCCAACTGCAGTACAATTTTTTTTTACTTCAGTGTGCGTATAAAACGTGGTTCGAGTTATCAAGAGTAAAATTATATAGCTATTGTCTGAAGGGCAACGAAAAATTACTTCAAGTTGTCAAGGGGTCAAGTTACTGAGGGTAAAATTACGGTAAATGTTTGGAGGAAATCAACAGGAAATCGATTTTAGTTCAAGTTAGCGAGGGTTCGAGTTATCGGGAGTCGAATGTATTTTTTTTTTTCATCTCTGCTGTTTGTTGTCACTCAAATTGAACACCTTGAAAAGTGCTTTTATGAACCTTTGTTGTGTTTTGCTTAATTAGGAAAGAAATGGTTGATGAAGAAGTGGTTCTAAAAAACCCTAGTGAAGCTGTGGAAGAAGTGGAAACATTGGCTGAAGAATTTTATAACAAAACTTTAATTCTTGAAAAAGGTAGCATTAGTTTACTGGTGCTGTAAATAGATTTGTTGTGTTTATATTATGTCGTGTGTCAGTGTGTAAATTTTCTAATGAGTAAAAATTTTACAGAAACTATCAAGCCAGCTAACCACTAATTATTATGGAAATGGTATTGGCGTTGTCTACTGTTCATGGAACTGCATGTTTATGGTTCGTCGTAAGTGTTGACCAAGTTGCGTAACAACTTTAATTAATAACATTATTTTCTTTTCTTTTATTAGTTCCAAATCTACAGCAGAGGTTGTGCCAGCCAGACTTTCAGCCAGAAACATTAGCGTAAGTTTGCCTTAATCATCATCATCATCATCACCGCCATTGTCATTACCACTTTTGCTTTCATTGTTGTCATCATTATCATTATTCTTAAATATATAGATTTAGCCAGGGCTAAAAGCGAAGCCCTGGTTAATAATACTTATTATTCATTCAAAATATTTCCCCAATTCTGATTGGCTAAAAGCACATGTTTAATTCACCATAACCAGTTACTGATGACCAAATTTGGAAGAATTTTGACTTTAACGAGGAAATGACGTCAAAAATGCAGCGTTTTCGCAGGTTAAGGCACCGTTAACCGAGAAGACCTGGGAACGAGGTTGAGTTGTTTTGGTTGTGAACTTAAAAAAATGGCGGACATTTCACTCGTTTCAAGAGTAAGAACTAGGCGAAAAAATAGCTAAAAACACGGCAAGAACAGCAAGAAGACAACTCGAAGGGCGACATCTGCTATTTGGAGAATATTTGCGGAGCTGGACAAACCTAAACGTACACTATCGAAGATGAACTGAACATCGATGGATCGATGGAGGTAAGCATGTTTTAGCTGTGTTTTTAAACTTGGAATTATTTTGAATGAATAATAAAACAGTTATTGAATTCGGCTTTCGTATCATATGAAGAATTATGGAGATTTCGGAGGGTGTTATCCGCCTCGGCCTACGGCCTCGACGGATAACACCCTCCTCGATCTCCATAATTCTTCATAAGATACTCAGCCTCATTCATTAACTGTTAATTATAAACATAAAAGAATAATAAATTGTGTAATGCTAAACGGGGACGGCAATGAAAATGGCATCAAGATCAATAGATCTAATTAGCAAAAAAACAAATTTGCTCGTGCAGCACATTGTTCTTTATAATTAGCAAAAAACAAATTTGCACGTGCAGCACTACTAAAACGTAAAACTTCCCAGTTACACTTTATTTTTATGGAGGAATTGTCATATGTGCTTACCAAAGATTTTGTCGGTTTTCTGTGTTCATGTTCGCTTTTATTTTTCGCTGCCGCTCATTTTCAACTGGCTGCTAGCATTTCTCATTTTCTCACCACCGCTATGAAATTTTCATGGTTTTCTTCCAATGAAATCGTCTCCCTAGCTCTTTCTCTGTTATCCACGTGAGTGTAAACATCAAAAATAACATCGGAAAAGACAAGACTTTGTTAGTTTTTTTCTCTCTTTAAAAGTCCTGGCAGTCATGCAATTCTTCCGTTGCATTTGAGTTGCCATACCTGTTAATTGAGTTATTTTACATTGGTGTGCCTTTGGTGCGGATGGGCAGATCAACGGTCGACCGGTCGGGCAGTGTACGGTCTTGTTATTACCAAATTTTCTAGGATGGGTAGATTTACTTAGCTATGGAGCTCCGCTATTACCACAATCAACACTATCCTTATCAGTATCATTGTTATCATCACCATCATCATCACTGGCATCATCCATCCTTGTCACTCCAAGTGCAATTTTACAGTGGAACCTGTTTCTTTGGAACACCCCTATTCAAGGGACACCTCTCTTCAGGAGACACAAAATTTTGTCCCGGAAAAATGTTCACATAATCTTTGTTTCTGTTACCTCTATTGAAGAGACACCTCTATTCAGAGGAAAGGGACACTTTGTCTGGGTCCTGAAACCCTGGTTTAACCTCCATTTAGGGGACACTTTAGCCCTTAAAAAGTGACTGACCAAAAACTGTGATAAGTTTCAGTGTACACTAGTCACAATGATGACAGCTTTCACGAAATGAACTATCTCACTTAAATCTATGTAATGCACTTGTGGGATTTCTCAACACACAACATCACACAGATAAGTTAATCATGAATCTTTATTCGTTATCTAACTACTTGAAATAAAAAACCTCCTTTTACGGGACTCCTTTATCCATGAATAGAGATTCTACTGTATTACAAGGATGATTTTCCTCATTAACCTGTTTTTCACTGGTGGTTGTATTTCCTTACAATTTCTTCACCCAAACTTTTTACAGCAGATACTACAATATTTGATAAGCTTGAAGGTGGATATATATATTCAAACACAACATGCAACAGACTAGGATAGAGGGGTGCTTCTTTTTTGCAGATTATGACAAGACGCCAAAGATCACAGCTCTTATACCTTGTAAAAATTTAGTGTCACATCGTATCCTTTCTGTTGTATGCCTTCTTGCAGGGAGGAGTCGGAGGTGGGGGGGACGCGGCAGCATTTGCTTGTTTTAAAATTCATTGACACAATATTAACTTTGACTTGTCGTTGTACAATCACAGTGATCTTCATCCAAGACATAAGCATCTCTTGGCCAAGAGGTCTCAGCGCTGCCGGGTGGGTAGCCTATCTATTATGTCTTTTCTCTTAGGTTGAAATATTGGATAAAAACTCTGAATTTCATGTTACATATCTAGTTAAATTTTGTTTAACACTTAAGAATAAAAGTAAGCGAAAAAAGTTTAACACGACGTTTCGATGTCGCCATGACATCATTATCAAGTGACAAAGATAAAACTAAAAACTGACTAAATATATACGGTTTAATGTGACAAAATAAAGAACAAAAGTAACATGTTGGCACGTTTAAATGAAATATGTGAAAATCTGTTAAACAAACAGTTTTGGCCGGATGGAATCTGATCGTGTGTTTAGGCTTGGTTTCTTCTCCTTTATAATAAGCATTTCGTAAATCAGGCAGTCTAATTTTCCATTACACCTCTTGAGTACGGAAAAGTTGTTGCTCAAGTCACCTATGGTTTTTAGGCCATGGACGTTCTTTAAATGCCTCCTAATTGCCGAGCGATGGTGCTCATGAATTTCATGTTGTGAAGAAAAATAGTAACATACAAAAGAAGTACCAAAGAGGTTTCATTTAAAATTGTCACACGATAAGATTTTATCCACATAGACTTACACATGTACATGTCTATAACTTACGGAGAGAAAATGTCAAGGGTAATGTATGGCTATGTAGATGCAATATGGATGCTGAAATGACTATCACAAAAGCTAATGTTGGTACATATATTATTATCATAAGATTTAAAATAACATCCTTTTATTTCCAAACAGCAATGTGAACACAATCTAAGCAAACCAGAATTCAACCCTTCATCAATAAAGTTCAAGATTCAGTTAGGAGCAGTGTAAGTAGTAGAGAGGTAATAGAAATATGATGGTGAATTTTACACCTGCAGAATTCACAGGGTTCGAAATAAAATCACTACTTTTAGCCTGAAACTCTAGGCTTTTTTTGTCAAGGCTTTTAAAATTTTTTCCCGGCTGCCAATAATGAATAAGTTTGCTTCGTACGTGTTCAGCAACGGCTGATGATTTTCAAATTCTTGGAAACCATAATGATGAACATATTTGTTTTCGGTAATTTTGCTGCCTATGTCTTGCCAATCCCAGCATGTTAGGATTGTATTGAAACAATCAATTCGGAGATATTTGTTTGTCTTTTCCCAGCTTTCGAATGTAGATGTCTTCACCGACATCGCTGATTCATGTGACCAGAGCGGCATATTCTATGAATCACTTTTATTCACTTTCCGCGATCTGCGAAATTTGCCAAGAACCCGTTGCTAGCACGTGACCAAAATCTTTTTAAATTAAAATTTCACTTTCTTCCCTGAGAATCCTTGAAAATATGAAGTGATTTTAAAATGATTTCGCACATAACTTGCATGTGCCACACTTGAACAAACGCGTAAAACAATTAGTCGTCCACGGTGAACAAGAATTCTCATTTTCAACTTTTGCAGCACGAATTTCCAAACCTTTCTCTTCTGTTTCTACGCATTTTAAAACAATTCCAAAAAGTTTTTAAAACGTTTCTTGGCTGCTCTGATATCTGATATGAAATGTTTACAACAACATTACAGCGACTTCGATTTCAGTAGGCCGATCAAAGCATGAAATGTTCTGTTTCTTCGGTAAAAAGAAGCTGGCAAGTGTGGTCACCTCAATAGCCCACAATGAAAAAATGTCAGCTTTACCCTCCTTAGCAGCCCCAAAAGGCAAAATGATCTGAAAAGGGGATGTATATTTTAATCTGTATGAGCCCCACAATACTATGCAATGGCAACATGTTGTCATCATAACCTTCCCCCCAAAAATGCATTATGTAAAGTAATTCATCTTTGTCTCCCTTTTAGTCATTATCTACCAATGCTAAGAATTTCGAATGTTCCAGCCCTAAAATTTGGAAAGGTACGTACACTGTTTTCAACTCACAATACATCCTAACTCAATGACCACGAACAGGCAGGCCCCTGATAGTAACTGTAGAGGCCTCAGTAATAGTTTGAAGTTTCATATGTTTGCCTTAACAAAACGAATAATTATGGCTAAGGATATTGCATTGGTAAGACTTTTCATCTGGCTCCCGCGCTTTGAAAATTTTGAAGTTTCTTATGTTTGTCTTATAAGAAAACGAATAGTTATGGCTAAGACAGCAGTACCTTACAGAATCAATTGTTTCCGATATTGCATTGGTAAGACTTTTCATCTGGCTCCCGCGCTTTGAAAATTTTGAAGTTTCTTATGTTTGTCTTATAAGGAAAAGAATAATTATGGCTAACACAGTAGTAGTTTACAAAATCATTTTTTCCGATATTGCATTGGCAAGAATTTTCTAATTACTTTTGTATCAAGTTTTTAATACTTCAGGTCCAACATAAAGGAAGGATGAACTTTGACATCCAGTCTCTCGCTTTTGCAGGAAGCGCAGGTGACTCTCTCCTTCACAAATCCAGTGGAAAATTTATTAAAAGTCACTTTGTTGAACATCGAAGAAGATGAAAAGGACGCTGTTGCTGAAACGGAGAAGGAGAAGCAGGATGAGGGCAATGATAAAGGAGCTGACGGCAAGATGGAGGAAGGCAAAAAAGACGATACAGAAAAGACCAAAGAAGATGGAGCAAAAGACAAGGAACAGAAAAATGTTGATGATGAAGGAAAGAACAAGGAGGAGGGAAGCGAGAAGGCTACTGATGATAAAAAGCAGGAAAGTTCTGTTGGTGTGATGGGGATAAACAGGAAGTTTGATCGAAGCATTGACAACAGTTGTGAGGGAAGGTCATTCGTTCCCACGGCTCAGGTAAAGTATGTTAAATTTTTCCCCATCTCAGTTTACTTGAGTAAGTTTTAATATTTTATAAAACATGTAGAACTGACAGGAAATATAACTGTTAAAACAAGGAGTAACTGACTCGAAAAATAGAAAGGTGAACTCAGACAGTGACTTTTGGAGATTCTGGACACTCATGTTACTGTTTAGGTAGATCTACCTGTTAGATTTAGGTCATTATCTGTTTGCATTTTTCAGGTCAGCAAAGGTAAGCACTTTGCGGGTGACAACTCGTCGCGCATGTCTTGTGCTTGCTTTCTCATTCCTGAAAAAACACCAAACAATAAAGTCTGCTCTGCAGGCTAGGTTAAAGTTTCCTTTGGTATTAAAGCCTATAAAGTGTCTTGACAACTTCATAATATAGCTACATCTTTGTCGACATAAAAGTAATATTTATTATCTGTTTGTATAACTGTTGAGGACATGATGTAAACACTATGTTGACAATGTGTGGTGTATATACACCTCTCAACAGGCATTCCACAAAAGGCGTTTTAACAAAGAGGTTCAGAAACGGGAGCAAGCAAATTAACCCTTTCAAGTCCTATGAGTAACCAACATCAATTTTCTCCTAATAATTTCAATACATCGTCAAAAGGAAAGCAATGAGAATCAATAAAATGATCACCTATAAGGAAAAATACTTTGATGTTTTATCAAATTCTCTAAACTAATTATTTAAGGAAATTTATGGGGATCAGTCTGGAGAATTTGTATGTCAATATTGAGGCTTAAAGGACAGTAAGGACTGTTGTCGTTTTCTTAGGTCACCCTTCCTACCTACCCGCTCATGTTAGGAGCACGTGACGAAGCAGCTGAATTTGATGAGATGGATTCCTCAACATCTGCAGAGATGTTTAATGATGATCCAAGGTTTGTTTTCAGTAAGCACTTCCATTTCTGCAAGGCTGAGGAGAGCCCAAAATGTTTTCAAGATAACGTGAAACCAGAAGCATATAGCCCCGAAGCATATAACTTTGTCGCAGTGCTGGGGTTTTTTAGGGAACCAAGCAAAATTTACTTCCTAATATGGAATTACTGGTAAGCGAGATTGTCGCGCGAGTGCTTTAGTCGGAAAACTTGTATCGCGATGTAAATGATGCGGTGCGAAAAGCATTTACTGTTTTACGAGGTAATATTTGACGAAACACGGAATTCACTACATGTATTAATCCCCAAATGACTAGGACTAAGTTAGTTCCTCCTAACAAGACAAAGTCGACTACCAATGACATGACCGTAAGAGAAGCGATTTCTTAAAGTTATAATTTTTTTACTTCAGAAACTGTTTTTGCGTGACCATTAGCGCAAATAACCTTTACAAAATCACCTGACATCTATCTAGAATAACAAGTAACACATATTTTCAAATAAACTTCACTAGTTGCTGAACTCGAAAGTAAAAATTGTGCAAAATTCGTTGCCATCGTCGTAGAAGTGATGCGTGTAATAAGAAGAATGAAACGCAAGTTAAGAAGACTTCAGATGCCGGCGATCATGTTTTCAACTATTGCAAGACTAATGTTATGAATGAACAAACAGAAAACAATAAACAGACAAATTGTTTCTTGAAAATGTTTATTCGAAAACCGACAAGAGTACCGTTAAAAGCAATTCACGTAACACTGACTGGATCGTGAATCCGTTCCCACAAGTAAAATAGGCTGAGCACATAGCAAAAATCAACACTAAAATTATCTGTGTAAGGTCGGGCGCATTTCGCAATTTTTCGTGAAAACTCTATCAAAAAAATATAAAAC